GTAATAATTGTTATTGTAAATTGTACTATTGTGTGTATATTAAAACGTGTTTATGTTAAAAAAGAAAACCGTGTATCAGTCTTGTTGACAAATATTATTAACTGATTATATATCGACATTTATTTAAATACTAAATCCAAAGTACAATTTAACTACTAAATTTCATTGATCAGTTAACTCAATTTCAGGCTATTTGAAATTCTAATATGTAACAGTGTGAACCAGTTGTAAATTATATTTCAGTTAGTAACTTTAAACACAGCCCATAGTTAACTGTAATGTAACTTCACAAATATTACCAACTAATGGACCATACTTTAGCATATTTATTTACATTATATATACTATGCGCAACATTCACATATATGTTGACCAATAGTTTTAATTTTTGGTTCTTTATTATTATTATTATTCTTTTTGCTGAAGATAGGATGTTTTATACTAGGAAAGTGAAAGTTGAACAGAAAAGTGTGGATACTACCAAAGAAATCTACTTTTAATATACATATTAAAGTGTATTAAATAATGTTTTGTGTGTAAAGTATATTAGCACCTCCTTTAATTTGTCATGTATGTTCAACTTGTGACTAAAAAATTGCTTAAAAACTAAACTCATTTGTTTGATTGTTTTTTAAGATTAAAATTGTTCTCAACTTTCCTTTATTGATAAGACACTGTTAACACTTTAGAATTAAAGCTGGTGACACTCCAACCCCCATACTGAAAAAACAGCTCTGTGATGCAATCACATTTAAGCATGTGAAAACAAATTTAATGCCAAAATTTTATAATATTTTTTTCCAAGACAAAGCTTTATAATTTGTATCTCATTTTATGAAGAGTAGGATAATGCTCATAGAAAGTGTTACTGGAAGCTTTATGAATTTGAATTATAGTTACACGGTTACTTGGTGCTATCTTTTTGATAACATCTAAAAGTTCTACATTTATGAAAACCAAACAAGGCATTTTATCTGTGCTTTTAAAGTGTAAAATTGATAATTATGTAGAATTCATAATAACATTACAGTGTGATTGAAAAAATGATCTGTATATAATGAACCTTATGGTGTATGTTTCTCTATTGATATTTATAACAAAGTATTTATTTTTTTCTGTCTGAAGTGTTTGTAGAATTTTTTTATAACAAAAAGTGATTTTTTATGGGAAGTTTAAACTTTGGAATCCCATTTCTAAATTTTGGTTATTTATTTATTGTTCATTATAGATGATGAATTAGTATGGAAAAGGAACTTTGTAATTTATTGTTTGTTTCAGATACACGTAAGTGTGATCCTGAAAGAGAGTTTACATGCACACAGAATAAACAATGGGGCCGTGCTGTGTGTATCCCAAAACGATGGATCTGTGATGGAGATCCTGACTGTGTGGATGGAGCTGATGAGAACACAACACTCCACGGTTGTGCCACACCTGAACCCTGTGATGAAGATCAGTTTCAATGCAAAAACTTTCGTTGTATAAATAAAGATTGGGTCTGTGACCATGACAACGATTGTGGTGATGCATCTGATGAACCTAAAAACTGCAGTATGTATTGCAATTTATCTTAAACATTGAAGATTTATATATGCAGTTTAATTAAAGGTTGGGTAATATATTAAGTGTTTGTACTCATTCCATTCAACCTTCAAAAGCCCTCTCTCTTAAACCTATTCTTCAGGATATAGTCTCAGTTTAGGATAAAATTAATTGTAAATATATGCAATACTGTGTTAAATAAATGTTAAAAAATTAACATTTATTGGTGCGTTAGAGTAAAAATAAAAATATCTATTGGTGCATTAGAGTAAAAATTAACATGAAAATATAGTCCATTACAGTCTATGAACTAAAACAAAATGCTGCTACAACTAGGGCAAAACCAAAAACAAGTTATTAAATTTTAACAATAACAGGAATTCAAAATAAAACTTTCAAACAATTGGAATACAAATTTTATCACTTACAAAACCCAAAATGAAAATAAAAACAGTGTGCCTGGTTAGGACTTGATACAAAGTTAATAAACAATACAACATAAATATTAATGTTATTAATTTCAATAAATATAGAAAGAACGAAATTAGGAAAAAGAACCAGAAGAAAAAAAAAAAACTAATTCTGAAAAACACAAATTCTAAAATTAAACTACTTCAAGAGCAATAACAATATCAAGTAATGATCAGCAATAATTTGTTCTATCTATATCTTGTTAACTAATGTATTTAAAATCAATGCAGAGATGGTTAAACCACAAAGTTACGTCTCATATGACTAGCTAATTTATATAATCTTTCACAACATTAATATATGTACGTCACCACTAGGGAAGCTTATGTCAGTTTAATGATACTGTTACGTATCTGGTTGTTTGTTAAGTTTCGGTATAAATTCTTTCCGAGGAACTTCAGTGATACAAGTCCTTTCTTAATTAAAACTAGTTTATTCTTTCTCAATACAACTTTGTAATACACAGAATTTCCACAGTCACTTTAAACTTAACAACCTTTATAACACGCTATAAATCACAGTGATTCACACACTTTACTTACAGTGCCTACTGTTTGCTTGACTCAATTATCTATCTCTTCAATCTATTTGCATATCTATCTCTCACTGGCTTTATTTGCCAGGCTTATACACTAAAAAAGAGGGCATCCCGAATGCACTAGCAAATTCATGATCATTCGAGAAACTCACCACGTGTTACCAGCATCACGTGACTTTTGCTATCATAACAATACAAACATACTCAAATTCAATGTGCTCTGGCTAGAAGGTGAGTTAGCACTTAATACAACTAAAAATTCATAGTTGAACTAAATGATAAATGAACAGTAAACAAAACCTTAACAAAATAAAAGTAGAAGTTGCTATTTTACAAGACTTTTTTTTTTATTGTAATTGGTATCTAAGGTAAGTCTTTTAATATATAGATTTGATGAGTCTGACAGAATAAAGAATTGATAAGTCTCATAGTATGAATTGAATATTTGTTATTACTTGTAGCATTAGTTGGATTTTATGGGTGTAATAGAATATAGAATTGATAAATTTAACAATAGAAAATTTGATTAAGTGCTAGGTGATGTAAATCTTCATTTGTGGTAGTTTGAGTTGTTAGAAAAGTGTAGAAAAAGTTAGTAGAACACTTATTTGGTGTACAGAAGGTCTTGACCTGAGGAAATAAAAAAAAAGTGATTGATATGCACCATAAACAGGGTTGTAGTTACGGTGAACAGCGGTGGGTGGGGTTACCCAGAACTTATTCTGCTCACCAACACTACTGCCACCTGTCACTAAATATCACTGAAAAAATTCACCATAAGCATGAAAGATTTCTTTGTCAATGTCACAGTACAGTTTACTTCACAATTAGCATGTTAGAAACAAAGACTTTTCGTGAAAAGTCATGAAACAAATAACCTTTACCCTAAAATACTTTAAGAAAAGTTCACAGGAAGAAACATGCATATGAAACTGAACAAACAGCCCACACCACACTAATTCACTTACAATTAGCATGACACATCAGACAATATAATCCACAGTGGATATCATACAAAGCTTATTTTCTTTCCAGTGAAAGCTTATGTGGTGGGTCAAAATGTTTTCAAAATTTTATGGTTATCTAAAATATAAAAGTATATAAATATGTTTCTTGCATAAAAACTTTTTTTGAATCTCATTGTGACTAATTTGTATCATTTACCTGCTATTAAAGATAGATTAATCAGGAAAATAAAACTCAGCCTAGAGTAAAATTTGTTCACCTTATAACATGTTTGCCTAGTGATTGCTTATGTGGAGTGTTTTATGGGATGTTCTGAAGGAATTACAAATTTTCAAAGTTGTTAAAATTATAAACATGAAAATAATAATCTTTTTTTTTTTTCGCCCGGCCAAGGTGGGGGGGGGGGACGGATGGCAGCAGCCACAGGCATGTGCATCTATGGGCTAGACTGGTTTTTACAACTCACTCCTCAAATTGTCCTAGCTACAACCCTGACCTTAAGATTTCTCACCTTGCATACAAATATCATTCCTGTAAAAAAACAGTAAACTCATACAAAAATATTAGATTAGCCATACCTAAAATAATTCATTACAAGTCATCACATTACTGTTTGCATAGTTCAGTAATTTGTTCTTAAATATGGAAGTATGAATATATCTTCATAAAGTTTTTTATGTTATTTTTTTGAGTTTATTGATGATCTCCATTCTAAGTGAATGGTTTGAACTTATTATTTCTTCAGTGTGATTAACTCTTTCACTACACAATTAATTTTCAGGCTGATTCCCAAAAAGTAAATAAAAATATTAATTTGACCCTTTGTATTACTTTTTCAATATTGAAAGAAACTGTATTTTCTATATCTGACAGTAATATTCCTTGAAAACTGTATTGGTTAGTGAAAAATAATAATTTAAACAAACAATTGACGAAAATTAGAAGAAAAGTGTTCTCCAGTAATTTGCATAAATATAGGCAAAACTAAGTCAATAAGAGGCCAAAATCGTTATAAAATATAAAACAAAGTATTTAGATAACAATATCCGAGATATAAAGAGGCTGTCTTTATATAGATTCTATGTGTTCTGGCAAAGTTGGCAATTTTGTAATGAGGCATATAAACATCCAGGTTTCATGGCATAGAACACAGATTGCAGCATGCACACAGGTTTGGCAATTGTTTCAAGTACAGGGGGATATTCCCGCATCTCGCAGTAGAGGGAGACTTTTTCTGGTAGCCATGAAGTAAAAAAAATTTTGCAGTCAGTGGGTATAAATGTTTACTTGGATATATCTGAACAATGCAGCAAAAAGGTTAATAATGATGAAACCTTTGTGATTAGTTTTATGTTTGTTTAAGTAAGCATAATGCATTAACTCGGCTACAGTGTAAGTAAAGAAAACGAGATTTCACCTGACAATATTCTAGGTCATTTCTTCACAATTACACTATTGTTGTTTTTTTCCTATGATACATGCAGTCAATTTTAACACCAGAATTGCTGAGGTAATTAGCACCAGATTCTTCACAACAACTGAATGTAAATGTGATTAAATCAATAATTATAAACTGTTACATAATTCTTACTGCTTCCTTTGTAAAATTGCTTGCTCTCATGTTACCATGCTACTAAATTTTAGTCATTGTACAAAATCATACTAGAATTTCCATTATCTCATCACATACTTATGTAAATTAGATTGCATGACAATTCTGTATCTTAAATTTAACTAACTACGTGCTCTTTATCTTCAAGTACACATGTTTTAGAATGTGTTGCAGTTTATAACAGGAACGGACTTTGTCTTGATGCTCTATAAATTTTAACTAGTAAAAATATCATACATAAAAACTATTTAAAACTGTTTTATTATAATATTGTTCTTTAACAAGTGAACTTATGTAATAATGATATGAATTTAAATAAATTTTCTTTCAGCTTTCCCGACCTGCTCTCCAGAAGAATTCTCTTGTCGTAATGCCAAGTGCATCCGTATGACTTACAAGTGTGATGGTGAGGATGATTGTGGAGATGGAAGTGATGAGTTGGTTGATGACTGCTCCACAGAAGCTCCAACCTGTTCTGGAGCACAGTTCCTGTGTAATAGTGGAATGTGCATTGACTACGAACGAGTGTGCAATAAACAGGAAGACTGTGATGATGGGTCAGATGAATCTTCTCATTGTAACACTGATGAATGTGCAAAAGTTGAAACAAATCAGTGTGAACACAAATGTGTGAACACTCTGACTGGATTCTACTGTGAATGTAATGAAGGCTACCAGCTAATGGATGATAGCAAAGCATGTAGAGACATCAATGAATGCACTGAAAAAGGTGGCATTTGTTCCCAGTATTGTTTCAATACACCAGGGTCCTACTACTGCAAATGCAATGACACTTACTATGAACGTGAATTAGACTTTCACAAATGTAAACGAAAAGATGGTAAGTTAAGCTATTTGTGTAAAAAGATATTTGTATTTGAATACTTTTGTTACAGGTCAAAGTAATGATAATGCTTAATTGATCTTGAAAAAATAACTTTATTGTTAAACATATTAGTGCCTGACTAAAGAATGCATTTTTTAAAATAATCTAAAAAAATGCTTAGGTTATGGATGACAATGATTTGTCAGAATCGTATTAATTAATATTAACTTCCAACCAAAGCAAGCTACCTAGTGCAAAACTAAAAATCAACTTTACAATGAGTATAGTTAATGTTCTGTGTAAGTAATGTTTTTCCTTATAAAGCTTTTATGCCTTAATATTAGATATCACCCCATGGATTATCTTCAGTAATCGCTACTATCTTCGCAATTTGAGCATTGATAACTCCCAGTACAACCTGATCAAAATGAACCTACGTAATGTAGTAGCTCTTGATTTTGACTATCAGGAAGAAAGGCTGTATTACTGTGATGTTGGCAATAAAAGTATTGGTCGAATGTTTATTAATGGCACCAATGAACAGATAATCATACACCGTAATGCTAAAGGATTGGAAGGACTTGCTGTGGACTGGATTGGAAGGTAAGAACTTAAATGCTTTGTAAGATATTGTAACAAATGAATAAGGTAATATATTATTGGAATTGAAACAGTTGCCATTTAAAATATTGGTTCTAATGAAATTATATATCACTGAAAAATGTGTCTTTATTTTTTTCCCCAATTCTCTTACTTTTATAATCATGCTATCCACTTTGTTTAAAAGGAGATTTGGTAAATAAAAAAATAATTCATAAGGTATTCTTCATCATTATTATTAGTACTACTTCCATGAACATAGTGCAAGATTGTATTAATCATGTTTATCTCTGAACCTTTTATTTATTTTTAGATGCTTTGAAAGCTATGAAAATATTAAATATTGTCAAAAGTAAAGAGAATTCACTGTTATTTGGTTACAGAAAAATATATTGGTTGGATAGAATTTCCAAGCATCTGTATGTGGCTGAGCTTGATGGAACTAATCGAAAAACTTTACTAGGGAGAGGCATTTCTGACCCAAGAGCCTTAGCTGTGCATCCAGGCATAGGGTAAAATGTTTAAGTAATTTTATTAATTACATTTTTAAATTTGTTCTTTGGTAGTTGTTTTAATTTTATTTTCATTGTGAGTCCTGAATATTGGTTGAAATGCTTAATAATGAAAAATACATCTTGAAATACAAAAATTACTTATAGTAACAATTCAGTGCTTCATAGTTGAAAACAAAAATATATAAATATATAAATTTGCAATTAAAAGATGGAAACATGCAGGAAGTTATCTTTTTATACTTTTAGGTACATTTACATGACAGACTGGGGCCATCATTCTTATATTGGACGAATCGGGCTGGATGGTTCCAACTTCTCCCGACTAATAACCTTCGAAGACAAACTTGTTTGGCCAAATGCTCTTACTATTGACTACTTCAGTAACAAAATATTCTGGGCAGATGCTCATTTGGATCATATTGAGTAAGGAAGATATTTGTGTTTATGTTACCAAATTTCATTCATATTAAATTCAGATTCTGTTGGTAATGCATATGCTTATACTAGTCATGAACTTTTGAAGGACAGAATTATACATAAAGTACATTTAGAATATCAGCTGTAGGTCAGATATAATAGGTCATACTCATAAATTGATTTTTAATTATAAGACAGATGCTGGTATTACATATAAAACTGATGTATTGAGTAAGTCCAGTCTCTATTATTATAATAACAATCTTCCTACTGGTAGTGTTACTTCAAAAGAATGTAAATGTGCATTTGGCCAGCTTGGTTACAAAAGTTAATTTTTTACTATATAGATATATATCGTATAATACGTTATAGCACTAAACTATTACGAAGTAAGTTACAAGTAATTAGTTACGTACGTACGTTAGTTGGCTACTATTT